AGAGGAGAGACAGAGAGAGAGAGAGGAGAGATAGAGAGAGAGAGAGAGAGAGGGTGGGGTGAGAGAGAGAGAGAGAGAGGGTGGGGTGAGAGAGAGAGAGAGAGAGAGAGAGAGAGAGAGAGAGAGAGAGAGGGGGAGAGAGAGAGAGAGAGAGAGAGAGAGAGAGAGAGAGAGAGAGAGAGAGAGAGAGAGAGAGAGAGAGAGAGAGAGAGAGAGAGAGAGAGAGAGAGAGAAGAGAGAGAGAGAGAGAGAGAGAGAGAGAGAGAGAGAGAGAGAGAGAGAGAGAGAGAGAGAGAGAGAGAGAGAGAGAGAGAGAGAGAGAGAGAGAGAGAGAGAGAGAGAGAGAGAGAGAGAGAGAGAGAGAGAGAGAGAGAGAGAGAGAGAGAGAAAGAGAGAGAGAAAGAGAGAGAGAGAGAGAGAGGAGGGGTGAGAGAGAGAGAGAAGCAGACAGACAGACAGACTGAAAGAAAGAAAATTCGAGAAAGTGAGTGCAAGCATACGAGCTCCACACAAATCGTGTATTGCTCATGAATAATCTACACCATCTATCTCCATTATTGTAACAGATGGCAATTATAATAATAGATCACTTCCTGGGAGATAGTCTCGGGCCTACTCTTTTCTTTGCATTATCAGTCTTCATTTTAAAGAATGAGGACAGAAACTTAACAATTTTTTAAATGTGTCATACAGAAATACTCATTTTAGAAAATGTAAACATTAGAAACACAAACACACACACATATGGTTAAATCTATTTCTCATGACTGTCTGTGAAAGTGTGCATGCATGTATGTATGCATCAATGATCTTATCATGGAACGAATTTACCACTCTGCTGAATTCGTCGTGACGAGCAGCGGCTGGTTGAAATTCACACATATTCGCGAATATTGACCAATTACGCTAAAGCTTAGCTGATGCTCAACCAATCGCAGCCTTCGCTCACGCTGAAACGGTCGTCTAACCAATGAGATTATTATTGGCCATCGTATTAAAGCAATTATGTAATGAATATTGGATTACAAACTAAACGTACAATAACACTATTAACTCGATACTCTTCAGTCGCTGGTGAGTTCTCGGAAATGGATGCCCACAAACAGTACGGAACTAAGGATACACCGAATCTTCTAATCGTGGTTAGTTGGAATGACAGCGTTCATGGTGGCATTTGTTTGCCTTGTAGGAAAGCAAAACGTGGTATTCCATGAACGTCATTGATACCTTTCGTAGCACTTACAAAACCACCGAAAACAATGACTACATCTACTGAAAAGGAACAATCGGTCGCTGTGGACAGGAAGTTTAAAGGGGATGTTATTCACCAGAGTGTTTATGTTTGTGTTTTTCGTGGCGTTTTGTATGGTGGCAGCGATGACAGGGTTTCCAAGGTGGCACTGTTTTTCCTATGGGGAGGAGACGTATTGTCAGATGAATATGTATGTATATATATAAATGCATATAACTGTACTGTCGGTTGGTCAGTCTGCATGTATTTATAAATGTATGTGCGTAAACATATAAATTGTTACTGTCTGATTGTCTTTCGGTTATTTGTATATATGCAATGTAAGTACAGATGTATGTACGTAAACATATTACTGCCTAACTGTATGTCGCTCTCTATGTATGTAATGTACGTACAAATGTATGTATAAACATACCAACGGAAAGACACGCATGGACTGTAAAATACATCGGAATCAACAAGAGAATTAAGCAAACGTCATTTGCATGTACACGTCATGCACTCAACCCCTTTGAGAGACACAGTTCAATGTTACCTTAGCATGAGCAGCTGAACAAGGCGATGGGGTCTTTGGCCTTGTGCGTAAGTTCAAGGTTCGTTTTCACGAATTTGCGAAAATGAAAACGAAGCGACGGATTGGCACTCGAGATACATAGAAAGTTTTTTTTTTATTATTATGATATGATAATAGATATTGTGGGGTTTTGTTATTTGAAAAATCATATAACTTTTTTTTTTAAATAAATTTTGGTATATTTTCATGTCGTCAAATCACAAGCTATGAATCAATTATTTGGTGTTATGAATTCAAAAATAAAAATGTACCAATAGTTTGCTTTCATCGGTGATTCCGTTTGATCGTCATCTAATCATGATCCATCCAACATGATGAATCTGCTCCTCATCTAATTATAGATCGTGTTTTTTTTCTCCACAGTGTATTTGTTTCGTGGATGGATTTGTTGGTCAGCGTATTTTTTGTCATGTTTTATCCGCCCTCTGTCGCCTTTCTCTCCCCTTCTTTCTCGTTTCTCTGCTTGTTCTAATTATCCGTCTTTTGTATCGTCTTTTCTCCTTTATTGCTTCCCCTTTTGGTCTCCTCTTTGGCCAGTTTTCTTTGAGTAATCTCCCTATCCCTTCCCTTTGTTCCTTTCCGCTCACTGCTCCTTTGTCCTTCTCTCATTTTGTGTATAATGCCCCTCTCCTTCTCTCCTTCCTCGTTTATCGCCTCTTGCTCTTATCCCCTGTTGACGTATGTTCCTTCTCCTCTTCCACTTCCTCTTCTTATC